GTAACAGATGTCGTTAAGGGTGTGGAGGAGAATGGAGAACTGTGCAACTAGATAAGGAGAGGGTTCTCCTTATCCTCTGATGTTGTATGATGTTGTACGAAAATTCGGGTTTTCAACTGGGTTCTGTTCCCTCCCCCTTTAGCGGTTGAAACCACATTGTAATCAGGGCGTTTCTTCAATAAAGGGCTTGGAGAGCAGATACTGCTTCAGAGTGGGTTTGAAGTTCTAACTGAATGCAGTTTCTGATCCCCTCTCCTTGCAAGTAAAATATACTAAATTCTCTGTGTCATTCTTTGTGCAGGTTGCTGAGTAAGGTGTTTGGTGTTCAAACCTAACAAAGCAGCAAAAAGGAAACAGCAGATGCGATTTTGCTGCTCCTGCTGCGTCCGGTGTGAACGCAGCATAATAAGTAGCTGCCTAAATTATCGCCTGTTGCACTACTGCCAACAGATGGCGCCATGTCTGTTTATGTCTGTTTATTTGATCATTGTGTCTGTTGCTGGAATTCTATTTAGGCTTAAACAGGACTATCAAATCACTATCAGGATGGACCCTTGATTTATATAAACATGTATATAACAGTTTATTACCATGATAAAAAGGGTTTTGGACTTTTTTGAAAAACATAATGGGACTATGCCTCTTTAAACCACATCTTAATCCCAATACATAAACCTTAATAACTTTGGTACAAATAGTCCTCAATATGATGGTGAAATGGGAAAAAATTGTCCTCTCATTGCTGCCATAATAGGAGCACTGACATGTAATTGATATAATTTACTGCATGTGCTTTAATCAGTCTTCATCCTCTGCACACCTCTGTTATAATCAATTATCTCACCTCTCCATGAACTGCAGCGTAAAGTTGGAGGTTTCTTGGGCGACAGCCTGTATTTGCTCCACTCCCCTACAGTTGTAGGTGTTCCCACAGTGGGCGTACACTCCTGTTAGCTCCACCCCATCTGTCTCAGCGATGGCTTGGGCCAGTTGGAGTGCCTCAGGCTCTGAATGCAGGATGCCAGCTACAACAAAGAGCAAACCCACAGCCAATGAATATTCAGCAGTAATGGCGTCGTTTCCCCAACATGTGTTCCTCACCTCTCCCATTGCCGCAGTCCAGTTTTAGCCACACGTACCACTGCCTGCCACCACTCAGGGGCCTCTTTTTGAGCTGGTCCAGGGCATCAGGATGATCAAGCAGAACTTGGAAAAGATCCAGTCTCTCTGACAAGGCAGCACAGCGCTCCACCTATCAACACAGAAAGCAACAGATATTTCTTCGGAAAGGGTTAGGAATATTGTGTTACTTTTTGTAACAAACTGTGTTGCAGCACTTTATTCTTATTCTTACCGTAAATTCTCTAATATTGGCCTGTATTCCAATAGCGGCCGGGTCTCTAATAATGGCCGGTCTCGCTGTCAGAGGAGGTAAATAATGGCCGGTCTCTAATACAGGCCGGGGCTATAAACGTTTTTTCTGGGCATACCTCAACATTATACTTGTGGTAGTAAGTAACATACAAGTACCACAGCCCTGCGCAGCTGGACGACAGCCGACAGGCCCTGACTGCTGCCCGTCTGCGCGAGGAAGAGAACAGACACGCAGCAGAACAGGAGGAGCGCGAGTGATGAGGAGATTAAAGGGAGAGATGAAGAGAAGGAGAAAAACTGAGGAGGAGAATTAAACAGAATTGGAGGATTTTTTTTTTTTTTTTTTTTTTACTTCAAACCAAGCGAGACATGGTAACTGTACTTTTTCAATAAATGAACCTAGTGTTTTATAGGTTCAAATAGACACAAAATCTCATTTTTATTCATTCCACTGGTAGTCTGTTTTGCTCAAATAGCAATAGAGGCCTGTCTCTAATACTGGCCTCTATCCAATAAAGGCCTGGACCGCGATGCACTTGAGTGAAATAAAGGCCCGGGCCTATATTAGAGAATTTACGGTATGTTGCAAAAGTATTCACATGCTGGAAATGTCCTCGCTTCATAATGCTGCCTCTACCATGTTTTAAAGTAAGCCTTCTGTGTTTAGGCTTCAGGGGTGTCTAGTAACGAAGTACAAATACTTCATTACTGTGCTTAAGTACACTTTTTAGGTATCTATACTTTACTCCATTACTTATTTTTCTTCCTACTTCTGACTTCTACTCATTACATTTTCACACAAGTATCTATACTTTCTATTCCTGACATTTTTAAAACAAACGTTACTCGTTACTCTTGGCTTTGGTTTAATGTTTATAAATATTCATTTCAAGCCATCCAATGCAGCTCATTGGCGCTATTTCACATCTAGTGAAAACTAGTGTAATTGGATGAGTCATATAACGCAAACACTCATTGGTTAGCTAAAGGAAATCATCAGAAAAAAACAGATGAATATAGTCGAAAAATTGAGCTTTCAATTCATATAGTGGCATCTGGCTGCTTTTTTAAAGGTTACTTTATACTTTTATACTTTAAAGGGGAACGCCATTTTTTTTTTTTTCATTGGGCCCTTGATTTTATGTTCTACTCACCCATATGAGTTTTGTGTCAGCATTCATAACATGCAGGGAAATCACTGTCCCCGAGACATCTGCACACCTTTTCACTTTTACTTGAGTAAAGAGGTCAAGTTGATACTTCAACTTTTACCAGAGTGTTTTTAAACTGCAGTATCTATACTTCTACTTAAGTAACACATGTGTGTACTTTTGACACTACTATTAGGCATTAAGGATTGGATTTAAGATAAAATTACAGTTTTGGTCCTTCTATAAATATAAAAGCGAGGAATCCCTAACCCATGACAGATTTGTGTGGAGCCCAATTCTACAGTAGCAGTCATTCTGACACATGAGGTTGGGATCTCTGCAGCTCCTGTAGTTACCATAGGCCTAATGGGTCTTGGCATATTTACACAAAGTAGTACAGATGTTTAAGATTATATATATATATATATCATAACAGAATTCTGTCATATTTCCGTTTTACAAGGGATATGTGCACCTTAGAGAGATACTAGATCTCTATATTAATTTTTTTTTTAATAATGAAGTTTTTTGTGTCATAATATCGCGTATATTCTAAACATTTATGGAGGTTTGCGGGTGCAACATGGACAAATATGGAGATTGGGGGTAGATATGTTTTTGCATGACATTATATTTATGTGCTGTCCATACATATGTTACACTGTGTCATGCTTTAAAGCAGGCATCCCCAAACTCGGTCCTCGAGGGCCGCTGTCCTTCAGGTTTTAGATGTTTCTCTGCTCCAGCACAGCTGATTTTAATTGATAGTTGATTAACAGGCTTTTGCTCTACTGCAATCATCATAATCAGCTGTGCTTAAACAGGGAAACCTCTAAAACCTGCAGGACAGCGGCCCTCGAGGACCGAGTTTGGGGATGCCTGCTTTAAAGAGAGCCATGTCAGAATACCTTGTCAAAGGGAAGAGAGTATGCATATAGGATGTCATCAAAGCCGTGCTCAGCATAGAAACTGGCCTCTGCCAAGGTGGAGACCACTATGCACCGTCTCGATCCACCTGTCATGATGTCCGCACATTCACTGCAGAGAAACCCAAACACAGAGCAATTCAGCTTCTCTCACACGCAGCCTGATGGGGATATCAGCTGCATACATACAGGGTTTTATGGGTCTTCATGTGCGGTCGGAGTTGGACTCCCAGTTTGTGGCAGCGCTCGATCATTCTTTGTGCGTTTCTCTTCACTTTGTCCACATCCACCACCAAAGCAGGGGTACACAGGGCTGAAAAGGACTCCCCCTCCATACTGCAAAACACTGGGGACATGCAATTTAATTATCATGCATGACTGGGTTAGCTACAGAAGAGGATTAGGGACACTGAAAAAAAAGTTATTTGATTTTTTAAAATATTTCAGTTTAATATGAGGGAAAAGTCAGAATTCTGAAAAAAAAAGAGATAACAGAATTCTGAGAAAAAAAGTCAGAGTTCTAAGATTAAAGTCAGAATTCTGAGAAAAAAGTCAGAATTCTGAGATTAAAGTCAGAATTCTGAGGGAAAAAGTCAGAATTCTGAGATTAAAGTCAGAATTCTGACTTTTTCCCATATTATACTGAAACATTTAACTAAAATCATTTAACTTTATTTTTTTTCAGTGGCCCTAATCCTCTTACGTAGTTAGCTCACACCGAAAAGATTCATTTGTTTTAATACAAAACAAATACATAAGTTGATTTGCAATAAAACAAGGACAACAAATAAAAAGATATATTATCAGATATTGCGTTTTCTTTACTGTGGTCACATTTTCCTGCCTGATGTGTAAAAAGGAACTTTGGACCATGCGAACTAACTCCCGTTTCAATAGCTATATATTTTGCATTTCGTGTGCATAAAGTACACTTAAACTCAATGCATCTAACTATACAAACATTGGCGAATTAAGAACTACCGGTATTAAGAAAGCAAAATCTTTACCTTGTAGAAGCGGACTATTTTTCTGTCTCTGATAAGTTGGTCTGCAGCTACGGTGTCCGTTAGAGACCAAGACCCTTTGCCCTGACAACGCTCTTGCTTCAAATTCTTTTTGCGTCATTATCCCCTTTACTTTAACCCCCCTCCAACTTCTAAATGTAATCTGAATATTGATAAACTCATGATAAACTGATGTGTTTGCTGGATTTCTAATTCCAATAATTGTTTAAGTTTTTTTCTTTTTCTTATTTAACCGTATTTTAAGGTCAATTGCAAATATAGATTTTTTTTATAGACACTCAAAGCATAATGGGACCCTTTGCGATATTTTTGTATTTTCTTAGCTTAGGGTTGATATGGTTGATACCATAGACATACATATAAGACCCCCTCATTGATTGTCGCATCGCAGAATGTAGGGGTGCCATCTTGGGGAGGTCCACCTGCTACCCTAACCAGCTGATTTAAGCAGAAAAAAATGTGCGGGTATTTTTGTTTTAATCAACGGACTTTCAGGGCTCAAGGCATAACTACATGAAGGCATCAGAGCTTTGTAAGACATTACTCAATAAACAGCATACAGGTCCAATATCAGCATATTGTGATAAAGTTTATTAATTTCCATAATGTAATGATAAAAGTTGAGCATTCATATATTTTAGATTCATTGCACACTAACTGAAATATTTCAGGTCTTTTATTGTCTTAATACGGATGATTTTGGCATACAGCTCTATTATAATGTATAATATAATAATATAATATTATAATTGTAATAATATAATTATTATATATATATTCTTAGATAGAGAGAGACAGAGAAAGTAAGATATATGTGTATATATATTTGTATATACCTATATAAATGTGTTTGTGCATATAGTAATAAAAACATGAAAATGGATGAGTGACTTTGCACATACATGCATTCTATCAGAATAGTATATTCTCGTAACACCAATAAGAATATCTAAACGCACTGAACCATTTGTTTGTCTTCGCAAAAAAACGAAACATTGTAAATTAGTTCAAAATCCGGCGAGTTAAAGCTGAATAAAACAGATTTTGTGCCTCCTTAATACATCGACCGCCCCAAGATGGCGCTACCAAAATCACCTCAGCGCCCAGGGGAGGCTGTTAATGCGGGTTCTACTCTTATACAGGTGCTGGTCATACAATTAGAATATCATGAAAAAGTAGATTGATTTCAGTAATTCCATTTAAAAAGTGAAACTTGTATATTATATTCATACATTACATACAAACTCATATATTTCAGATGTTTATTTTGTTTAATTTTGATGATTACAAATGACAACAAATGAAAATCTCAAATTCATCATATCAGAAAATTAGAATATTACTGAAGACCAATAAAAACAAAGGATTTATAGAAATGTTGGCCAACTGAAAAGTATGAACATGAAAAGTATGAGCATGTACAGCACTCAGTATTTAGTTGGGCCTCCTTTGGCCTGTATTACTGCAGCAATGCGGCGTGGCATGGAGTCGATCAGTCTGTGGCACTGCTCAGGTGTTATGATAGCCCAGGTTGCTCTAATAGTGGCTTTTAGCTCTTCTGAATTGTTGGGTCTGGTGTATTGCATCTTCTTCTTCACAATACCCCATAGATTTTCTATGGGGTTAAGGTCAGGAGAGTTTGCTGGCCAATTAAGAACAGGGATACCATGGTCCTTCAACCAGGTACTGGTAGCTTTGGCACTGTGTGCAGGTGCCAAGTCCTGTTGGAAAATGAAATCTGCATCTCCAAAAAGTTGGTCAGCTGCAGGAAGCATGAAGTGCTCTAAAACTTCCTGGTATGTGGCTGCGTTGACCCTGGACCTCAGAAAACACAATGGACCAACACCAGCAGATGACATGGCACCCCAAACCATCACTGACTGTGGAAACTTTACACTGGACTTCAAGCAACGTGGATGAAGTGCCTCTCTTCTTTTCCTCCAGACTCTGGGACCTTGATTTCCAAAGGAAATGCAAAATTTACTTTCATCAGAGAACATGACTTTGGACCACTCACCAGCAGTCCAGTCCTGTTTCTCTTTAGCCCAGGCAAGACGCTTCTGACGCTGTCTGTGGTTCAAGAGTGGCTTGACACAAGGAATGCGACAGCAGAAACCCATGTCTTTCATACGTCTGTGTGTGGTGGTTCTTGAAGCACTCACTCCAGCTGCAGTCCACTCTTTGTGAATCTCCCCCACATTTTTGAATGGGTTTTGTTTCACAATCCTCTCCAGGGTGCGGTTATCTCTCTTGCTTGTACACTTTTTTCGACCACATCTTTTCCTTCCCTTCGCCTCTCTATTAATGTGCTTGGACACTGAGCTCTGTGAACAGCCAGCCTCTTTAGCGATGACCTTTTGTGTCTTGCCCTCCTTGTGCAAGGTGTCGATGGTCGTCTTTTGGACAACTGTCAAGTCAGCAGTCTTCCCCATGATTGTGTAGCCTATAGAACTAGACTGAAAGACCATTTAAAGGCTTTTGCAGGTGGTTTGAGTTAATTAGCTGATTAGAGTGTGGCACCAGGGGCCATCAATTTTGAACCTTTTCACAATATTCTAATTTTCTGATATGATGAATTTGAGATTTTCATTTGTTGTCATTTGTAATCATCAAAATTAAACAAAATAAACATCTGAAATATATGAGTTTGTATGTAATGTATGAATATAATATACAAGTTTCACTTTTTAAATGGAATTACTGAAATCAATCAACTTTTTCATGATATTCTAATTTTATGACCAGCACCTGTATGCCGAGTGTTGCTTTCACATTCTGGCTGTTCCTGCCACCGTTTGGACAATCATCAAACCTCACTGAACAGGTTGAAGGAGGCCAGTAGTTCTTAATTTAGCTTCTCGTGACTCTCTGTTTCAGCACAGCATGATTTCCTTAGCAGAATTCATATGCTACAAAAGCCTGGTAATCATTCATTATATAAGCCAGGTGTGTGGCAGCGAGGAGAACACTCCTCCACTCTGGGTTCCTGAGCAGAACCCTTAACCCCACACTGCTCCCTGTGCACCACACAATGGCAAGATATCATGAGCCTTGATGTTCTCCTCATGAATATTGATATTGATAATGTTGTTTCCCAGTCCGGCAGAGCCTAAGCCTCACACTGAGGACAGGCCTGGGTAGTGGACATCCTCCTGGTTGCAGAATTACTCTTCAATGGCCAAGACCTGAATAAGTGATGCAAGGTTATCATTAGGCCCATCAATTACAGGGTACATGGGAGGTTCTAGACAGGGACCAACAGGGCAGAACTGGTCCTTGCCCACGTTATGGCCCTTGTACTGAAAACACACACAGAAAAAATTTAACTAAAGACAAGTTGTAGACGGATTCATTTAAGTGTAAAACAAGAAAAAACATAACTCTATTATTGTATTTCAAGTGCATAATATGTACACTGCAAAAAAGAAAAAAATAAGTAAAACCTTTCTTGAATTAAGTGTATTTAATAAATATTAAATTAGTAAATAAGATGATTGGCCAAGTATTTTTATTCTTAAAATAAGATAATTAGATAATATGCACTCAAAATGAGACAATGTAAATGTTTTTTTCTTATGTTAAATGTAAATTGTCTTGTTCCATTGGCAAAGTGTCTCAGGACAAAATGTATTTCTTTAAAGAAAAAAAATAATTTATTTAGTTTCCAATTTTGTTCAGTGGAATTATCTTATTTAAGGGGAAGAAATACTCATTACTTTAGCCAATTAAGATTCATTCTATATTAATTTTTGTTCCCATGGACCAATTCAATATCTTGCCTGGACAATTTACTTTAGCAATTATTTAGAAATTACAGTCAGCTTTAAGCTTTAGCCATACTAAGAAAAGGTAAAAAATTTTTGTCTACGACAGTAGATAAGAGGGCTTTGTGGCTCATTTATTATACTAATCACCCTTGCTTTTTGTGAGTGTGCATTTTTTACATTGCAGGGATTTATTTTCCATAAATCATAGCAGATCATAGGGTTAGATGTTGGTTTAGGACTAAGGTGTGAATTGAGTTTAGGTTATGTATGAACCCTTAATGCTTAGGTTTAGATTAAGGGTCACAGCTAGGCTGAAGAAATAGGTTAGGAATTAATGGAATTCAATGGAACAAAAAATATGATTGTGTGTTATTCTTTTGTTGTGTGCCCCCATGAAAACACACGGGCCCAACCCTGGCCCCTCTGGTAAATATAGTTAACAAATAATAGTATGTTCCATTATGTAAAATCAACCCAAGATAAATGAAGAAACAAAGCACAAAACACATGGAAGGGGTCACACTTTAGTCTTTATTTAAACATAGCGTAATACAAAAATGTCATTGTTTCCTGCTTGTTTGTAATTAACATCAGCTGCTTGGTGTTCATCTGAAACCTTTCTTGGTCAGGGCAACATTTTACGTTTTTTTTATGTCCAGAATTAACTACAAGAATAGCAGTAACATATGAAGTACAAAAAAAAAAAATAAATCAGATCATCTCATTATTTTTAGCACCATTAAAGTAAATACTGACGTTTTAAAGAGCGAGAGTGAGTGTACGTTTGTGACAAAGAGAGAATGACAGATAAAGCTTTGTTCCTGCAAGCTGAACATTATATAAAAAAAAAAGACCAATGTAAAACCATAGTTGGTGTGAATACCATTCGATATCTATGAATTTCTCTTTTGGGGCTCCTACTCTAGCAGTGCTGACGAGCCATTTAAACTGACACATTGGTTCTGTGAGTCTGAAGTGTTTGAAGAGTTGGTCTTGAACAGGCTTTTTTATTTGTGACAAATTCACTTCCCTAAAACAACACAATATGGAGCCACTTCAGTGCTTTTCATCCAGGAATGATAATGGTCAGAGATACATGTGGTGCCTCTGAGTGGGTTTTACATGTATACCGAAGGAGCTGGTCCCTCTGTCGTTCAATGGTTCCTAACTCTATTGTGCAGAGTACTGCAGTTCCTCACTAGCAAATCCAGCGGATGAAGCGCTCAAAGAAAGCATGTTTCTCCAGCATGGAGAGGTCTTTGGCTCTAAAGATGGCGGACGAGTCCTGCAGTGACACCTTGTGGAGGACCTCTTCATTGGTGTCCGTTCCCAAGGCGATAATCGTGGG